GCTGAAAATACTATGGACTGCTAAAAGAACTAACAAATCTGTCCTGGAAGAAGTGCAGCCAGAATGCTCCTTGGAAGTGAGAATGGCTAGACTTCACCTTACCTACTTTGGTCAAGTTGTAAGAAGAGGCAATTCCCTGGAGAAGGATATCATGCTTGGTAAAGTGGAAGGTCAATGAAAGAGGAGAAGGCCCTCAACAAGATGGATTGGCATAGTGGCTACGGCTACAACAGTGGGCTCAGGTATAGGTAGGATCATGGAGCTGGCACAGGACCGGGCAGTGTTTCATTCTGCTGTACATGGGGTTGCTATGAGTTGGAGATGACTCAGTGGCACCTAACAACAACAACATCAACAACCTGATCATTCAGCCTGTCTACACATCTGTTTACCCATAGATTAATTTTGTTACCACTCACAACACAGTATTGTATGTGTAAAAGGGTTTATCTTTGTTGTCTGTACCTCTTGTGTACCTCTGTGTCTTCTTCCTCAGTGCCCCTGTGTTGATCACTTACTTTTGGTACATTGCCTTTCCCTTCACCAGGTGGTGAATGAACAGAAATTTGATTTTTTTTTTTTTTTTTTCATAGTTTTGGAGGCTGCTCTAGAGGAGCACTGTCTCTCTGTCCATTCTAGTGTTCTTCTTCACATGCCTTGGAGATCTTCACAAGGCATATATCTTTCCCCCATTTGTGCTTACTTGCTTCTGTGCTTAATCTACTCTTTAAGGAGCTCTGATAGCATAGTGCCTAAGGCATTTGACTGAGAACCAGAAGGTTGGCAGTTCAAACCCACCAGCCTCTCCATGGAAGGAAGACTGAGCAATCTACTTCTGTAAAGATTTACCACCTCGGAAACCCAAAGGGGCTCACTATGAGTCTTTATGTCTCAAGGTCATTGGTTTCAGGCTCACAGTACACTGATGGCCTCATTACCATATCAAAGAAAACCCTATTCCCAAATGGAATTATATTCACACATAGACCCATTAAACCAAACCTATTGCCATCAAGTCAGGTCTACTTCTGTAAAGATTACATACAGCCTTGAACACCCAAAGGACAGTTCTACTCTGTCTTATAGGGTTGCTGAGTCAGAATTCAGCTGTGTCAGTTTAATTCAGTTTAAATGTTCAGTCCTGCATTTTCTGTTGCATAATTGCTTTAGATGGAAGTTGTGTAGAGTTTGGCAATTTGATTTTTAGGCATCTGACAAAGAAGTGTTATCCCACCTGAATGAAAAACAGCAACTCATATTAGTTCAAATGTATGTAAAGTATCTCGGTTCATCAAAATGCTTGGGATGGTGAATTCTTTTAAACTTTCTGGTTAACCAGAGATTAATCAAAAACCCCTTTCCCTTTCAATCGTTTAAAAAAAAAAAAAAAAGATTCTGAAACATGTCAGTGTTCTTATCTGATGATTAGGAATATTGTGAGGCCCAAGGTGATGATTAGGGATATTGCCATACCCAAGGCTCATTATTAATAGGAATTCTTTTTGTACAGCATAATAGAGTGAAAAAGTATTTAAGAATTAAAGCAGAATTTGCCCCCCCCCCTTTTTTTTTAATTGAATCCCTAAATTGAGTTTATTTCCCTGTCATTTGGGCTTTCTCCTTGTCCAGGAGCACAGTCACATATAGCTGGTGGAGAGCCCTGGTCAATAAGGTTGTGGATAATCAGGGGGTCAACTTTTATCAAATTTGAAAGAACAGGATTATCATGAGCCCTTGGCCTTTGAGATAGTAAAGGATTCAATACTATAATAATTATCTCTGAAAGTGCATGATTTTTACTTTCAAGAAAAGAAGGGGTCATAGACATGGTGACAGCTAACTTCTGTAGAGTGGTTACTATATGCCAAGTGCGATTATAGATGTCCTTATATGCAGGGTCTCTCTCAATTTTCACACAGCCTGATCAGGCATGTGCTATTATCATCTCCATTTTGAAATTTTATTTTATTTCCAGTGAAAAATATGCAAAACAGAACTACACCCATTCAACAGTTTCTACGTGTACCATTCAGTGACATTGATTACCATCTTATAGTGTGTCACTGTTCTCACCATGTCTACCTGTATTGTTTCACCACCATTAACTTAGATTCACTTCCCCCTAAAGTTTTCATCTGTACTTTAGAGTTGTTGTCAATTTGATCTCATATAGATAATTCCATGTTCAAGGCAAATACTCTTTTTTAAAAAAATTGTGATTTGGGTGAAAGTTTACAGAGCAAATTCACTTTCCATACAGCAGTTCACATACACTTTGTCTCATGACATTGACTACAATTTACCACAATACAGCAGCTCCCTTCCCACTCCTTCCCCATAGTTACCTCTTCCCTGTGTCCTTCCCTCCATGTACTTCTGCCCCCTGAGCTGTCTCCCTGTGCATACACAGCCCTTCTTTCTCCCATGATTGTTCTCTCCAAGGAGTGTATCTACCTCAGGTAAATGTTCGACTCATATGCCCATCTTTTGTTTGGCTGGAAGCTACAGGTGTGGGTTCAATTCCAGACCTGAAGGGCAGCTAGGAGCTATAGTCTCAGTGGTTCCATCAGGCTCATTCAGACCAGCAAACCTGGTCCCTTTCTTTTAATGATTTTGAGTTTTGTTCCACGTTGCTCTCTCATTCTATCCAGGATCTCCTACATAGATACCCCTCCAGGTGGATGACAGTGGTAGCCAGGCACCATCTAGTTCTTCTGGTCTCATAGGCGTATAGACTGAGCATCGCATGATGTACCAGTTGCTTGAACTAATTGTTTCCATGAATCTTTGGTTTTCTTCATTCTTCTTTGCTCTGGACAAGGAGAGACCCATCATTGCATCTAGATTGACGCTTGCAAGCTTTTAAGATCCCAGTTGCTACCCGCCAAAGTAGGATATGGAACAATGTTTTGTGTAGTATGTTATGCCAATTGAGTTTGATGTCTTCTGTGGCTATGGTCCCGAGCCCATAGATCCAACTACTCACTTCCTCTGGGTAGCTGGCTGTGGCCAAGAAGTGACTACAACCTTGTCCCTTGTCAGCTCTACTATATACCTGTGAATTCTTACAGAACATACCAATACACTTGTAGAAACATTGTCTGCCAACCCTATGCATAGTCTTGGGCACACTCTTCCCTGAATAGACATACCTAATAGTTCAGCCTGTTACCCATCTATCCGCCTGTATATCCATGTTTGTCAAGGCACATACTCTTTACTAATTGGGCTAAACTGTTTCATTTAAAGATGACTTCAGAGGATAGTTTCAGTTCAAGGTTTAACAATTATCTCAGGGCAATAGGTTCCAAGGTTTCCCCAGTCTCAGTGGGTCCAGTAAGTCTGGTCTGCATAAGAATTGGAAACTCTGTCCCATGTTTTTCCTGCTTTGGTATCATTCCCATTTTATAGATAAGAAAGCTAAGCTTAAAAGTCAAGTGACTTTTCTAGGTCAAACCTTGCTCTATGAGTCGAAATCCACGTGGCGGCAATGGGTTTAGTTCAACTAAATTCCAGAGCCCAATTACTCAACCTTCAATACCAACCACTTGTGAAGTCTTTATACTTTCCATTACGTAGGCGAGAAGTCAACCACAAGAAAAACACACAGTGGAAGTCACCAGAAGTGGGTTCAAGCCTCAGCCCATGTTCTAACTGCTGAAAGGCTTTGGGCCCTTCACTTGATTGCTATGGGCTCTAGTTCCCACATCTATCAAAGGAGGACAGTAGAGCAAAAATCACGGGTTTCCCGCCATGTTCCTCAGAGCCCTGCTGCCTCAGTAGCCCCATTAGGCAGAACAGAGTCCGTTATTCCTGTCTTGTTTGTTAGGTTTCTGTAGAGGATGTTGCTTGGGGAAAGGAAAGCTTCCATTGCTAAAAAAATTTTAAAAATCAACTGAATTTTTAAAAAGGCAAATCAGATAACTGGGTGCCCCACAGGCCTGAGATTTATAGCTGCAGAGATGTTATATTTCCTTACAAACTGGACTAACTTTTCATTTTAGGAGAAGAGAAATACCCCGTTTTCCTGTTGAAAAAAGATATTCATTCCTTCCCTCCCGGTGGGGTCACTCAGCTATCAGCACAGAGTCTGTGTTATGAAGGGACAGGGCACTATATCATGGACTAATAACTAAAATGTCACAAGTTTAGGTCTCTTATTTAGACTTAGGCTGAGAGTCTGAGAACATGAGGGGCTGGTTTCACCGCAAACCTGCTTTTGTCTTTTTTCCACAGAAAACCTGGTGCTTCAGAGCAGGCACTCTTTAGATGGCTCCAAACTCATGGAGAAAGCTGAAACTGCGCAGCCACTGTGGGTTACGTTAGCACTGCAAAAACAAAAGGGGTTTCGGGAGCAGCAAGCAACGCGAGAGGAGAGAAAGCAAGCCAGAGAAGCCAAGCAGGCAGAAAAGCTCTCCAAAGAAAACGTGAGCAGCTTCATCTTCAACATTAGTTTGCCTTCCTGAGCCAAGCCCTTTGAGGTCACAAGGAGAAAAATAAATAAATGCTGGTGGGGGTGAAGGAGAACACTTAGAAAGGGTAGAGCAATACATTGACCTCTGCTAAAGCGGGGAAGCATCTTCAGAATGAAATTTGATCCAGTTTCTTATGCTCTTAGGGAAACCTGATTTAACAGAACCCGTGCATTAGAAGGCAGTGGTGGTTCAGTGGTAGAAATCGTGCCTTCCACGGGGGAAACTTGGCTTTAATTCCTAGCCAGTGCACCTCCAGCACAATCACCACCCGCTTGTCATTGGCAGCTGCGTGTTGCTCTAATACTGAACAAGTTTCAGTGGAGCTTACAGACTAGGAAGAAAGGCCTGGTGATCTACTTCCAAAAATCAGCCAGTAGAGCACAATAGTCCAATCCACAGATCATCATGGGGACAGCACAGGACTGGGAAGCATTCCATTCCATTGTACATGGGGTTGGAAGCACTGATAAACACACAGCAATTACATGAAAATTATTTAATTGGAGCATTGAGTTGAGTGGAAATCAGTCTTGCTCTGTGGCCCTGATTTTATAGTTGATTAAATGTGGCTCTTCTAGGAAAATAGCCTTCCCTCTTGGGCACATTTGCACTGAGGTGCTCCATTGTTGGGGGTGGGAACAGGTGAGCACCCATTGCTCGAAATGCAATCCAAGTCCCTTTGGGGAGGAGAGGTAGAAGGGGCTGGCCAGCAGAGGCCCCAAGGCCTGCAAGGCTGGTCATTCTGTGTCCTTGTTGGAGAACATGCTTCACCTGACTTTCTCTGCCCACCCAGGTCAGTGTCAGCCCGCAGCCTGAAAGTGGCAGTGTCAGCAGAGCTGGTTCTCTGCACAAGTCTCCTGCTCAGCCAGCAGAAGAGAGGAAGCCAGAGACCGCAGTGGCTAGGCTCGAGCGCAGAGAACAGCTGAAAAAGGCCAGCACTCTTCCTACATCTGTGACAGGTAGAGAGCAGGTCCATTTCTAGTTGACCATAGTTACAGCTCCCCTTCTTATAGAGTATACTGTATTTTCTACTGTTTAAACCTAGTAAGTGAAGGGCAGTGACGGTTCGGTGGTAGAATTCTTGCCTTCTATGGCAGGAGACCTGGGTTTGATTCCTGGCCAGCATCGTGTGCAGCCTCCACCTATCTGTCAGTGGAGGCTCGCATGTTGCTGTGATGCTGAACAGGTTTCATCAGAGTTTCCAGACTGAGATGGACTGAGAAGAAAGGCTTGATGAGGGAGTTCCAAAAATCAGCCAGTGAAAACCCTCTGGATCACGAGTCCAGTCTGCAACAGATCGTGAGCAGGGAGATGGCATGGAACTTTGTTCTGTCGAGCACCGACTTGACAGCAGCCAACAATAACAACAATAACTAGCCTACATTTTAGACATTTCAAAGCACAGGCTGGCTGTCTCCTACCCCATTCATAAACTTTGATTCTGATAAAGCTCACCTCACAAAAACCCTGAGGATTCACCCACAGTGAGTGATATAATAATTAGTGTTCAACAGCTAGCTCTTCAAGGGATGCAGGGAGCTCTGACCTATAGCATTGGCCATTTTCCATGGGGTAAATACTTCTACTATGGCCAGTTTCAATGTGACCTTCTACCAGCTTGCAAAATTCCTGGACACTTAACAATTGGCTCTTACAAGCTGGTATGACCCATTTCCAGCACCTACTGCCTGTAGTCCAACCGAGTTTGTTTTATTAACGTGCTACATCAAGGGAAACAACATGTCAGAGGAACTTTCTAAACAAAGGAAAATAAAAAATAATTAGGAATGGGGGGTAGAGTTTAGGTAGAATTTAAATGGGACTGTGTTTTGATGTCTTTCTCCAGGGATTGGTCCCTCCAGGTAACATATCCAAAGTAAATGAGAGGGACATGACAAAGTCTCACCATCCTCACTTCTAAGAAGCATTTTGGCTGTACTTCTAAGACAGATTTGTTTGTTCTGCTGGCTGTCTGTGATATATTCAGTATTCTTCAACAACACCACAATTTGAATGAGACAATTTTTCTTTGGTCTCCCTTTTTCATTGTGCATCTTTCACACATATGAGGCAATTGAAAATACCCTGGAGAAGGACATCATGTATGGTAATGAAAAAAATGAAAATGAAAAAATGGTCAGTGAAAAAAAGGAAGATTTTCAATGAGATGGAATGATACAATGTTTGCAAGAATGAGGTCAAAGGTCACAATTGTGAGAGTCCAAAAAGTAAAACTCGGGCTGAAAAACTTAAAGAGATTTATTGAGAATACAAACAAGTTGAGGAGGTGGTGAATACTACAGGGTAAGACAGACTGCTGTGCTGAGGTATGGAGCAGCAAGGGTTCATAAAGGCTAAAACTGCAGGCAGGTGGGGTACAGCTAAAGCTATCTTCATTGTCTGAATTAGTCTGCAGGTGGCTGGGGTACAGCTCCTCATTGTTAGTGGATGATACCTGGGTTGGTTATAACAGGGTAATGGAAAAGCCCAGAGTATCACAGAGGTGTAATAAACATTTTTTGAGGGAGGTTGAGGAGCAGTATCTTCTAAAAATAAGTTGACCACAAACTGTTCATGGCTGCAGCTATTTCCTGAAATTTATGAAAATAATCCACTGGTACATCTCCTGGGTAACAGATTGCAAAGCTTGCGGGGATTTTGCAGAGAATTCACATATGGGTTAAGATTGAGTCACTGTTGCTCCCTTGGCATGAGTCCAGGCTAAGCCAAAAGCCCATTTTTTAATTTTTCCCTTTGTTGTTTCCTCCTTTTGATCAAGAATTTTCTTACAAATTCATTGAACACTATAACTGCATGGGCTTTTAACTTGCCATATGTAGGGTCTCTCCTTAGGGCAAGTAGTAGGTCTCAGTTTCTCCACAAAGGAGTAACTCATGTCGGTTAGGGTTTTTGATGGCTGAATGGGTTGTGAGTAGCCACTTATCTTTTAAGCTGTTTAAGACCCCAGATGACAGGGTTCAGATGTCATTAGATGGATAGCTGGACACCACTCCAAACTTCTTCACCATGGTTATAAACTTGAGAAGGTTGACTGGGAGGAAAGCTGAATTAAAATGGGAACCAGTTGGACTAGGCAAAGACTTAAACCAGGGACAGGTGCATCCACAGATGTCTCAGTAGTTTCTTTAAAGTACATAACACATTGCTTATGTTTGGGGGTGTATATATAAATATAGAACCAGGTGATGCCAGAGAAGAAATGTTTGATTAGGAGGTGATGTGATAAGGTAATTAAAAAAGACAATGATTATGAATATGAAGGTGGGGACCAGGTTTGCTGGTCCAATAGAGCCTGGTGGAACCACTGAGACTATGGCTCCTAGCAGCCCTTCAGGTCTGGAATTGAACCCATACCTGTGGTTTCCAGCCAAACAAAACACAGGCATATGAGTTGAACATTTACCTCAAGTAGATACACTCCTTGGAGAGAATAATCATGGGAGAAAGGAGGGCTGCTTATGCACAGGGAGACAGCTCAGGGAGCAGGAGTGTATGGAGGGATGGACACTGGGAAGAGGTAACTATGGGGAGAAAGTGGGAGGGGAGCTGTTGCATTGTGGTAAACTGTGGTCAATGACATGAGACAAAGTATATGTGAACTGCTGTATGGAAAGTGAATTTGCTCTGTAAATCTTCACCCAAATCACAATAATAAAAAAAAAAAATTTAGATGAAAACATTTCCAAACATAATGATCAATATTATTTTCAAAGAGCTTTAGACATAACACATAAGGCTCTTGAGACATAATATTAATTAGGATATAGCAAGAATGTGTGTTTTAAAGACAGGCATGTGAGCTGAACATTTACATTAGGTAGATAAACTACCTATTGTGGATTGATCAATCATGGGAGAATAAAAGGGCTGTGTATGCACAGGGAGACAGCTTGGGTAGGGGGCAGGAGTGCATGGGAGGGAAGGAGACAAGTAGGAGGTGGCTATGGGGAGGAAGTGGGAGGAGAGTTGTTGCATTGTGAGAGATTGCAGTCAATGTCATGGGACAAAGTGATGTGAACTGCTGTATGGAAGATGAATTTGTTCTGTAAACTTTCACCCAAATCACAATAAAATTATTAAAAAAAAAAAAAAATGAATGTGTGTTTAGTTACTTCATGCTGCTCTAACAGAAAATACCATAAATGGGTGGCTTTAACAAATAGGAGTTTATTCTCTTACAGTTTTGAAGGCTATAAGTCCAGGTTCAAAGTGCCAGCTCTAGAGGCTGGGTGAAATCCCCTCGACTTTGGGCTTTACTCTGCCTCTTGGTCCTATCCCACTGGAGCTAGAGGCATCTCTTCCCTCAGGCAGCTAATGGCTGCTGAAGCTAATAAGCCCAAGGTTGACAAATAAAAATGATACAGTCCCAATATTACCACAAAACACACAGCAGGCCACTGATTCAAGTCCATTAAGAGTCCCAGGATCAACAGAGCATGACAGGCTGCTGAATGAAGACTCGGCTACATGCAGGGTCTAAACATGGCAAAAAGCTCATAGACCATTCCTAAAGCTTCTCTTTATGTACTGGGAGCAGACCACATCTCTAAGGCAGCTACTCAGCTGCTCACAGTAGATTCTATCATGGAGTTGATTACCAGTGTCATCATGGGGAATACTATATCCAGCTGCCTAGCCATTCAAAACCAGGACCAGCCAAGTTGACACATAACCTTAACTACCACAATGTACTAATATAAAAATCACAAGAATGTGATTTTTTAAGTCTCTAAACATCATCTCTCAGTTTGTCTTACTGTGCTCACTTGCATGTTGCTGTGAGTCTGGAGGCTCTGCCAACAGTATTGCTAATACCAGCAGGGTCACTCATGGTGGACAGGTTTCAGCAGAGCTTCCAGACTGGGAAGAAGGATGGAGCCATCCACTTCTGAATAAACTGGCCAGTGAAAACTTTATGAATAGCAGTGAACCATTGTCTAATATGTGGCTGGAAAACTTTATGAATAGCCATGAAACATTTTCTCATATAGTGCCAAGAGATCAACCCCTCAAGTGGGAAGGCAGTCAAAATATGACTGGGAAGAGCTGCCTCCTAAATGTTGACCTTAATGACATGGAGAAGTAAAGATTTCAGGACCTCATTTGGTGATGTGGCATGACTCAAAATGAGAAGAAACAGCTGCAAACATCCATCAATAATTTGAATATGGAATGTACAAAGTGTGAATCTAGGAAAATTGGAAGTTGTCAAAAATGGAATGGGACACATAAAGATTGATATCCTAGGCATTAGTGCAGCTAAAATGGATTGGTATTGACCATTTTGAATCAGACAATTATATGATCTACTTTGCTGGGAATGACAAATTGGAGAAGAATGGTATCACATTCATCGTCAAAAAGAATGTTTCAAGACCAATCCTGAAGTACAATGCTGTCAGTGATAGTATAATATCCATACACCTACGGTGAAGACCAGTCAATACGACTATCAAATTTACACACAACCACTAAACTCAAAGATGAAGAAATTGAATATTTTTACCAACTTCTGCAGTCTGAAATGGACCAAGAATGCAATCAGGATGTATTGATAATTATTGGTGATTGGAATGCAAAAGTTGGAAACAAGCAAGAATCACCAGTAGTTGGAAAATATGGTGTTGGTGACAGACATGACACTGGAGAGCATAATAGAATTTTGCAAGACCAGCGACTTATTCATTGCAAATACCTTTTTTCAACAACATAAATAGTGGCTATACACATGGACCTCACCAGATGGAATACACAGAAATCAGATCAACTATATCTGTGGAAAGAGGTGATAGAGAAGCTTATTGTCTTCAGCCAAAATAAGGCCAGGAGCTGACTGTGGAGCAGACCATCAATTGCCCATATGCAGGTTCAAGTTGAAGCTAAAGAAAATTAAAACAAGACTATGACAACCAAAATATGACCTGAATTTAGAGACTAT